AAAAAAAAAAAAAAAAAAAAAAAAAAAAAAAAAAAAAAAAAAAAACAACAAAACGAGAAAAAAACGGTACGCGAGCGCGGGTATCGGAGAGTAAGTAAGTATACTTGTGTGGCGCGCGCGGGTGGAAGATGCCGAGATACCGGTCGCACACTGCGCTCGGCTGGCGATCGACACTGCCCGTATACGGCCGAAGACCCAAAGAGACATGTTATACACGCTGGGCTCCCCGGATGGGGGGCTACATACACCACAACTCTCTCTCTCTCTCTCTCTAGCACACAACAACGCGGCTAGTACGGCGCTGGAGGGGGGAGGATACGCGCTCTCCCTATACCGTATCGCGTATGTAATAAATATATACACCTATGTAGGTACACAACACACAGAGGGTACATTATGTAAAAGGCGTTAGTTCGCGGCTCGCGACGAAGGCCGCCCCTTTGGGTATAATAATAATAGTGATTTCGTTCGCACCGTTGCGGATGTTCCGAAACATGAGTGAACGTTAAAGCGAGTATCTCTCCCAATAAACTATACATAGTTAACTTTACAGCGAGTGAAAAATATCACTCGCACGCGCGATAAATATATATTTATTAAAAATCTGCGAATGTGCTTTGAGCTTGGGTGAATTATCGAAATCGAAAACCTCCGAACAAAATGATCAGGACGAGGTTCATCCACCCTTGCTAAAAAAAAGAAAAAAAATAATCGCCTTAAGAGTAAATAAATGCAAAAAGCTTAAAAATCAAACGAAACACTCGGGTGTTCAATTTTATAGATAAAGTACGGAATAAAAGTTTCCATCTTCGGCAGATAAGTAGTATATAAAATACGTTGATCGGACGAGTGCAGCAACAAAAGATGAGTAACGTTACACCTTTTTTTTAGTCATCAATGTAAAAGTACGCGATCGCTTATTTCGGGTATCGATGTTTGGCACGCAGTAATATGTTAAACAAGTAAATGCAGACATGAGGATTAGTAAGAGAGAGAGAGAGAGAGAGAGATAGGGAGGTAAAAATTCACAGGCAGTAATGGGTTGCAGCCGGCTCCTCGCGCCGGTGCAGGTAACTGTAGTCCGCCGGTCACATCGAGGGCTGGGCCGGTGGCAGCATGTTCTCGTATCCCGCGCCCATGCCCAACTGGTGATGATGATGGTGGTGGTGATGGTGCGAGCCCGTCATCATCTGGTGATGGTGGTGGTGGTGGTGATAACTCGGCTGGTAGTACTGGTGGTGCGAGGTTACGTTGGAGTAGTACAGCGAGGCGGCCTGATCGCCCGGTGCGGCCGGTGTAGCAGCCGACCCCTCTTTTCCTGCGAAAAATCCACGCGACAAGAGGCTCTCGTTACTATTGTTGCCACTACCGCTGTTGCTCCCGGCATCGGTACAACAATTACTACTCGGGGCAACTATCGTCATATCGGCGAGTTTGTTTTTTTGGTGCTCGTCATCGTTCATGCTCTTAATTAACCGTAATTTCCACTGACTGTCGTAAATATCACGGGCAACGTAGGCGCAGTGCGGCGGCTTGACGTCGCCAATGGGACTGAGCTCGTGGGGGTGGGCGGCGCCTGGGTGGCCGGGCGAGGGCGTGACCGAGACTGCGGGGCTCGCGTAGCCCGCGTGCTGCTGCTGCTGCTGCTGCTGATGGTGACTGCTGTTGTTGTTGTTGTTGTTGTTGTGATGGTGGCCAGCCATGGGGCCAACCGCCGAGGCTATACCCATCCCCGGGACGGGCGACATCGTCAGAGACGCGTAGCCGGACTCGAGCTGCAGCCCGGACTGCTGCTGCTGACTGTTACCGCCGAGGTGCTGGCTTTGGCTCCCAATGACGTTGCTCGCGCTGTTCCCGCTGCCCAGTGGACTCGTCAAGGGATTCCCCGAATGGCAGCTCGGCGGAATCATTTCGCTGTAAACAGATACGAAAAAAAAAAAAAAAAAAAAAAAAAAAAAAAAAAAAAAAAAAAAAAAAAAAAAA